AGTAAATGACGGCAGTTTTGAAATGTCAGCTTATCAAGTAAGAACTAAAACTAACTTCAAAGGCTTCCTGATTGAATTTTGACCCCGTTGACAATTTCACCCTATGCGCGGCGTATAACATTTAAAATGACATATGGTTCCGTCAAAAAAAGGTCCGTCAAACGTTGTAAACGCTGTCTGTTTTAAAGTAGCGTGTCTCCAGATTCATACTAATTTTCATGAGCATTTTGAAAATGTATTAAAAGTAAAATATTGTGAAGTGAACAAACGGCACTTATAATCCACATAAACCAAAAAGAAAAAAAGTAGGAAAAAATAGCCCATTCTGTGTAGTTCGCATTAGAAATATGGTGATAAAATCTGCAAAGTCAGTCAATTATTGCACATAACATGGAAATTATTGCATGAATCTTTTTTTTTTCTTTCTTTTTTTTTTTAAATCTTAACAAATTTCTTTTTAATATTTTTGATCATCTGGATGAATGTAGCTTTAAGGTTATAATATTAATTCTGCGTTAGGGAAGAAAAAATTGTGTTCAAATTAAGTAAAATAAAAAGTTGATTTAAAACAAATGTCATGCTAGATACAAATTACATTTTTGATCACTGAAAACAGTCATGCATCGACATGTTGTCTTGACTTGTTGATCGTTTGGAAATGGTAATTTTTTACCTGTTGTAGAGACATGCAGGCGTATGATTATAAAAGTCATTTTGTATTTTTATGATCGTGGAAATTCATCGATTTTATTTTTATAAACCGATCGATCCAATTAGAGACCACATTAAGACTGACAAAACAATACAAACAATAACAACAAGTACAACAAAAACAAATTAAGCAGTTACCTACCTGCGAAGCAATTACATGTGATATTTTTATTTTGTTCCAAAAAGTCACTTTTCTTTGAACCAGTTATGCCATTCGTTACTATCCAGAGAGATTATTCTAATAGCCTTACAAGAAAAGCATTGATGCAAAGCATCAAAGGGCGTCCAAGCAAGAAATGCAGCATGTGAAGATGAACTAGTAGACATCTGATGACCAGATATTCTTATATATACTTTGCAATGGTTAATTGGTTTTTACCAGATTTGTATATCATTTATGAATGGGCGGACGAAAGACATTGTTCATCATGAACTTTGGTAGGCATGCTAGAGATCAGAATATTTTTTCCCTCAGGAACTTGAAATTTTATCAATATTAACGATAATATCCAAAATATATCATCATTAATATTGGTTATTTGATAGAATTTTAAGTTCATGTACTATTTTCTTTGGAACATACAAAATAGTAGTCAAAATGAACAAAGTCTGTTAATTGATTTATTGGGAGGTCAATCTACTGTTTTAATGAATTACTTCAAAAACCTCATCTGACCCACCAGTGTGTAATAAACACATAACAACTCATGTTAAAATTGCAGACAACATTTTCTGTTGTTAAATTGTCACAATATTCGGCAAGTTGAACATTCCACTCATACTACCATATAATCGATTGCCTTCAAACAAAAATATAGAACAGTTAGACTTGAACTATAGTATAACTGTCGCACAAGCGACATTTAAAGTTATGAACTAGGTCTATTTAAATATTAAAGGTAAAAATGTCATAAGTGCAATCAGGGCAGTAAAAAAGAAAACCGGATCGAGAGACCTACGGAAACGACAATTTCAAAATAATAATACTTTTTGCATTACTTTCCTGCAAAAGTATCCAGTTCGTTATGTATTACCATAGTGCGACACGAATGACCGTTTCGTTAAACTAAAACTACTTCTATAAATAGATTTACGGACTTTTACAATGTCAAGGTCATCATTCTATTTTATAGGTACAGCAGTAACATACATAATAACCCACATGATTAATAAAAAAAACGAAAAGCGCGATTAATTGACAAAAAGATAATTTCATTTGAATATGTTTGCATTGCGAAATTCTCCAGTTCGCTATCCCGACATTTAATTTTTGATTATCAAACACCCTCATACCAATCGGATTGATCGGCTATTATGACAGACGAAAAGGCCCGAGAAGTTGCAATTACCCTCTCACAACGCGGACGCCAATTAATTCTAATCCATTGTAATTATCAGGGGAGAAATTTTTTATGGACTTAATTTAAATCCCAACAGTTACACCCCTTTAAACTTCATCTGCCAATTGTAATTTTCAGGGGATATAATTATTTTCGTCAATTATTATTTTCGGGAAGATTAATCTTATTAAGATAAGATAAGATAATCTTTATTTATAGCCGGTTACAATCAAACATCATAACATTAGCTATATACGCCATTTTCCGACAGAACATACTATCCTTTAACATGCAAACAAACAACCTGTTTAAAATTATAAAGAAACTGATTAAGAGGACCAATGTTCATCTGATAAAAGCTTTAAAATAATAATGATTTATAAGCACATTTATTTTATGCTTTTCAGTGGATTACTGATTTATCCGTGAAAATTATATTTGATAATTTCACAGTGAAAATTATCAAAATATAATTTCAAACTTTTCAATGACGAAACTACTTTTTTTAAAAAATTGCCCCATATGGTACCTCAATTTTAATTTTTGCTGACAATTCTGACAATTCTGAAAAGCAAAGCTGAAATTGATAAAAAGCTTAAATGTCAAAAGTAATAAAAAGAAGAAAACTTACTTCTATTCATTCAAATTCCAATCACCAAATTTCGTCTCTAAATCATTGTTTCATTTTTACAATCTGAAAAATACATTTCTCATGCAAAACTGCTCTTGATGACATTTGGGCATATTAAAGTATCCTACGAGCAATAACTGTCGTATGCTTTATGAAAACTTAAAAAGCAATGACAGCCATCAGCCGGAAGAATAAGTAAACAACCCAGCGTTCCTGAGCCAGCCTTTGAAGTTTTCCATTTCCCTTGCTGCTTTTTAAATGTTTTTCACATCTGTCAACACTTATTTTTTGTCTGTTACAATCCTCAAATAACTTTTCTCTCTTTTAAAAGGGTGTATGACTAACAAATCCAAATGATATCCCTCTGAATCAAACACAATTATTTTCCTCCCGTGAAATACACAACTTTAAAAAATGACTGCCGCTTACATTTAACAAAGTCATGTCTAATATAAATTCGCAGTAAGTAACAGAAATATGGATGGATGGTTGGACTTTTTCTCCTACAAGAATTGTTTGTTTTTATTATTAAAACAAGCGATCATTCATATTTTTTTTAACAAAATGAATAATATCACCGTCATTTAACGTTGATTGTTGAACTTATTTTTCAGCTCAAGACTTCTTGTATTTAATGAGAAATTCCGACTAAATGGGACTCTCAATGGGGAAACAGATTTTAATATTAACGTTAATATTATGGAAATTTCGTTTTAACTTGTTTTTAAGCATAAACTGGGACATAAGATCTTATCTTATGTCCCAGGCATAAAATAAAAAGAAAATTTGTTTGTTCGTTGTGTAAGATGTAATTTTATTTCATCTCGTGAACTTTAAAAACAGTATTCTCACGAGTGGCTACGCCACTCGTGAGAATACTGTTTTTAAAGCCCATTCAATGAAATAAAATTTCATCTTACACACAAACAAACAAATATCCTCTGTATCATTACGGATAGAATAATAATAATAGATTACAAGCAAACAGCAAATATAATTTTGACTTAGCTATACTTGTAATTTATTCCGATAGTCATTTCCCTTTGTTTGAACCACTTTCCGGTTCGTAAATTGGTATTAAAAAGGTATCTCATCGATCTGATTGTATTTCACTTACGCCATTATAAAATAAAGTTTCCTTTTAAAAGGAAAGGCTTGCACAGTTGTGCCTTCATCCCAACCCTTTAAAATTGTGTTGTTTTTTGGTTTCAATTAATTATCACATTTTTTTTAATTACGGTATTTGTATACCATAAAGGGTTTATTTGGTTGGGGTTTTTTTTTTTTGGAAAACCGAATATTTTTTGTCAAGACGATTTGAAATCTATTCTCTATTGTATAAAACTAATAAAGAAAATGATCAATCGTAAAAATACTAACGTAATACTGAAGGAAAACAAGTATGCACATTTCATATCCCCTTTTTCGCAGCGAAATCATTCCTTTGCTTTATAGACAAGTAAATGCACTAAAATACTTCGTTACGTAGTACCAATTTATAAGCATGTATCAACTATGTTACACGATCACAAATAAACTCCTCACAGCTGTTACGTCACGCTTTGCTACTTTAACTGTACAGACCAGGGGAAGTAACCGCTGCGAGTTTGGATCAGCACGTGGCAAGGTTAATGATATGCATGGGCTATTTTTAGATTACCTCACCAAGAAGTTCAGTAGATCTAAATATAACTCGATCATGGTAAGCAGGACCACCCTTTGAAGACGGAATACTACTACAACTAATACAGACAAAAAACAATTATAAAAGAAACTAACTTTTGCGTCTTGAAAAACAATTGAAACGGAACAATTTCGTTTATAATTTATTACGGTTTAAACCGATAAATCAAGTAAAAATAGAAATTCTATTTATATAAACAAACTGGGATTACCGAAGTAACTAAAATAGCTTAGATTTCCGTAATATTACTTCGTCTAATTCCGCAGTATGACGGAATCGCCCAAATTGTCACGATTGCAATCGGATATACATCGGCTATTATCATTTATCCGAAGAGTGACGGAAAAGGCAGAGAAGTTGCGATTGGCACGATTTCAGCTGGTTTCACGTTCAATCATGCACCAACAGATGTAAGCAGGAAACCACCTAACCGGAACAAGTTTTCCATATGAAATGGCTTGCAGCCGTGGCTGCAAGCCAAAAATGTGAATGCTCGTTATTATGTGTACTTGTTTTTACCCCTTTATTCCACTTAATTATGTTTTATAAAATGTAATTTTAAGTCATGTTCCAAATTGATTATTACATTTCGCTTAGGAAAAAATCGGGAATTTGAAAAACTTATTGACTCCAGACCAAATATTTGGAACGTACCTGTATCGTCTGAAATACCATATCAATTTTGAGACGCTCCCTGATTAATATTTGTTGCTATGACGTCACAAGTACTTTACTGAAGCGTACAAAATGGCGTACCAAGCGGCAGGAACAGATAATATTCTTCTTGTAACCGATTCTTACAAGGTAATTATCGTGTTTTGCTTTTCCATATATCGTCAAAATAACACTTATGATTTTCTGTATTGATAATTGTAACTGTCATGCCTTTCTAAAGTAATGTAACTTAGTTTTCTTCCTATTTTAAGTATTTTTATTTCATAAACTTTCGATTTGACTTGTTTTTTTCCGCTGCATCGGCAAAATAATAAGATAATTTTCCATCATTTTTCGAAGAAAGTATTTTTTGTATCAAAATGTGGTGATCTGGAGATAATACCTTTATAGTGAAAAAAAATCGTTACTCACTACTCAGAGGGAGATTGTACATGTTGAAATGCGTCATGAAAGTGAAAGTAGAAAATTTATGCATTCACATAGCATAAATCTAGATATCTCTGCATTTGAAGATCTGTGTAACATTGATGTATTTATATGAATGATAGTGTCATTGAAATATTCTGTGATTCAAAGCAATGTATTTATATGTACTTCTACTTCTTAAATCTACATCATACTGCTTTAAAATCGTTTACGATCACTCTAAGCAGGTATACATTGTATACATTAAAGAGACAGCTATGAGATACAAGGGAATCTGGGAACCAGTCCCTAGATCTTATTGAATAGACCCCTTGGTTATTTTACATGCCCAGTGTATAGCACTGATACATGCGAGGATTACCTGGCTTTCTTACCAGTACACCTCTAGGTACATGTAGGTGAGAAATTAACTCTGAAAGTGTCTCTGAAAAATCCCAAGGGTGTAACCCAGGATCGAACCCAGGACCTCAGGAGTGATAATCAGTGGTTTAACCAACTGAGCTATGTATGATAGTGTCATTGAAAAATCCCAAGGGTGTAATCCAGGATCGAACCCAGGACCTCAGGAGTGATAATCAGTGGTTTAACCAACATACTGAGCTATGTATGATAGTGTCATTAAAATATTCTTTGATTCAAAGCAAGCAGCAATTAATTTGTACCACTGATTGTCTATAAGTCTACTTAATTAGTCAAAATATATTGATGTGCCAAAGCTTGATTCCGAGATATTTTCGTTTTGGGACAGAATCTCGCTTTTAGAGGCAAGATATTGCCCAGACACGAAAATAGCACAATATCTCGTCGCGCAGTACAATTAGTTAGACTAGTTTATAGTGAACGTGCTCAATTAATATGCAGCAACATCAATCTGATTAAAATCGGCTCTAAATAAAGCTCTACTTTTAGATGTGACCGTGACCAAATACAAATTCATTTCTGGTGATATTTTACACATCCAATCATTGGCACGCTTTCATAATTTTGAAGCGATGTGTTTTCTAATTTTAACCCTGGGATAACCAACATTGAGTAGGTAATTTTCACAATTTGGAGAACAAACATGGCGTACATGTCTATATACTTATATAGCCGACAGGTAAACTGGCAAAACAATCTAGCCATAAAAAATTGACTATTATTTCATGTTAATTCTTCTAATGCCTATGTAAAAACTGGTTTGATTGCATGTGTGTGTTGGTACGTCAATAATGTAAAACCCAACCAAAATAAAGATGGGATGTTTAATATGGCGACGTTTCATTTGAAGTAGCAATGATTTATATTAAAATCGTCTTAACTCGACAGGGGAAGGGTAATAAAATTATTATTTTGGTTTTGGAGTGATATAAGTGGATATATTACCTGTCAAGATAAAATATCACCCTCGCCTAATGGCTCGGGTGATATAAAATCTTGACAGGTAGTATATCCACATATATCACTCCAAAACCAAAATAACATAATTATAATATATGACAATCAAAAATATGCGTGAATAAAGGGAGGTAATTAAATACTTATATCATTGACATTAATAATGTATTTGTATAGATTAAAATAAATAAAAAATATCCATTCACACAGAAATCCACATAACAATGAAATGATAAACACCTTGTCCGGCAAGAATCAGGCCTGTAAAATATAAAAATCAGTTAATCTATAACTCAAAGTGAAAGCTGCCCAAAGAGAAACAATTCTAACAACTTGTAATAAAGTTTTGTCCAAAGATTTCCGCATGGCTTGGTCATTTTTTGCACCGGCAATATATTCTTTCTCTATGTAAATAACGGGAAAAACATCATTTTCACGAGCCTACCGTTCAAAAAACCATTCGATCAATTCCGTTGCAAATTTGATTTTGTACAACTATGGCGGGTCTACTTTACATGTTTTAAGTTTTAAAGCCCTAATCCAAGGAACATGCCCAGGAGATTTCCGCATGGCTCGGTCATTTCCGGCGATTTGCTCTTTCTGTATATAAAGTGTATAAATTTTCGAGAAAAAAAGCATTATTTAGAGCCAAACGTTCATACAGTGGTCTTCCAACTTCATGTAAATGTAAATCAGTTCTGGTGTGTGTGTGTTACAAAAACGCGTTTGAGAGTGCTCGATTTTGCAGGAATTAATCTCATGTACAGTTGGCCATTACAAAATGAACGCTACGAAAAAAAGAAAAGAAAAAAGGTTGTAAATTGTATTAGCTAAAAGGATCTTCTTCACTGCTATAATTATAAGGCTTAAATGCACAACTCAAGAAAAATAAGAGCAAATACTCCACGTTCAATAGTCGATATTCGGTCCTGTGATTTGTTCTTTATTTATTTAAATTTAAGGCTTAAGAAATTTCGTAAATAAACGCATAATTTTCTCGTGTCAACTGTTGAAAAACCATCCGACCAATATCGTTGCAAATTCGATTTTGTACAACTTTGGAGGGTCTTCTGTGAATATTATAAGGCTTAAAGCCCTAACACAAGTAATATGTCCAGGAGATTTCCGCGTGACTTGGACATTTTTTTTTGCACCGCGATTTCTTCATTTTGTATATGAGGCTTGGTTATTTTTTGCACCGCGGTTTGTTCTTTCTCTATATAAATTTGGAAAAATCATCATTTTCACGAGCCTACCGTTCAAAAACAGTTTGACCAATTCCAATGCAAATTCGATTTTGTACAACTTAAGAGAGTCTTCTTTGTACAGTAAAAGGCTTGAAGCCCTAACCCAAGGAATATGTCCAGGAGATTTCCGTGTGGCTTGGTCATTTTTTTTTTGCACCGCGATTTGTTCATTCTGTATATAAATTTCGAAAAAAATATCATTTTCACAAGCCTACTGTTCAAAAACCATTTGACCAATTCCAATGAAAATTCGATTTTGTACAATTTAAGAGGGTCTTCTTTGTACAGAAAAAGGCTTAAAGCCATAACCCAAGTAATATGTCCAGGAGATTTTCGTGTGGCTTGGTCATTTTTTATATGCCCGAAAGGGCATATTATGTTATACCCCCTGGCGTCCGTCTGTCTGTCCGTCCGTCCGTCCGTACGTCCGTCCGTCCGTTAGCAATTTGGTTTCCGGAGCATAACTTAAGTTCCATTTGGCCCACAATGTTCAAACTTCATAGGATGATTGTCCATATTGGGTAGAAGACCCCTATTGATTTTGGGGTCAAAAGGTCAAGGTCACTATTACCTTAAAACTGAAAACGAATTCCGGAGCATAACTTAAGTTCCATTCGACCCACAATGTTCAAACTTCATAGGATGATTGTCCATATTGGGAAGAAGACCCCTATTGATTTTGGGGTCACAAGGTCAAGTCAAGGTCACTATGACCTTGATACTGAAAACAGTTTCCGGAGCATAACTTAAGTTCCAATTGGCCAACAATGTTCAAACTACATAGGATGATTGTTCATATTGGGTTAGAAGACCCCTATTGATTTTGGGGTCAAAAGGGTCAAAGGTCAAGGTCACTATTAACCTTATAACTGAAAACAGTTTCCAGAGCATAACTTAAGTTCCATTCGACCCACAATGTTCAAACTTCATAGGATGATTGTCCATATTTGGTAGAAGACCCCTATTGATTTTGGGGTCAAAGGTGAAGGTCACTATTACATTGATACTGAAAAATATGTTTCCACGCATAACTTAAGTTCCATTTGACCCACAATGTTCAAACTTCATAGGATGATTGTCCATATTGGGTAGAAGACCCCTGTTGATTTTGGGGTCAAAAGGTCAAAGGTGAAGGTCACTATTACCTTCATACTGAAAACAGTTGCCGGAGCATATGTTAAGTTCCATTTGGCCCACAATGTTCAAACTTCATAGGATGATTGTCCATATTGGGTAGAAGAGCCCTATTGATTTTGGGGTCAAAAGGTCAACGGTTAAGGTCATCCTTACTAAAAAAAAAAAAATACTTTCGGGCATATAATGCTCCGCCTAGCGGTGCTCTTGTTTGCACCTGGATTTGTTCATTCATATAAATTTCGATAAAATTATCATTTTCACGAGCCTACCGTTCAAAAACCATTTGACCAATTCCAATGCAAATTCGATTTTGTACAACTTTGGAGGGTCTTCTGTAAACATTATAAGGCCTGAGGTCGAATCCCAAGTAATATGTACAGGAGATTTCCGTGTTGCTTGGTTATTTTTTGGCACCGCGATTTGTTGTTTTTCTATAAATTTCGGAAAAATCATCATTTTCACGAGCCTACCGTTCAAAAACTGTTTGATCAATTCCAATGAAAATTCGATTTTGTACATGTTAAGAAGGTCTTCTTTGTACAGAGAAAGGCTTAAAGCCCTAACCCAAGTAATATGTCCAGGAGATTTCCGTGTGGCTTGGTCATTGTTTTTTTGCACCGCGATTTCTTCATTCTGTATATAAATTTCGAAAAAAATATCATTTTCACAAGCCTACTGTTCAAAAACCATTTGACCAATTGCAATGCAAATTCGATTTTGTACAACTTTGGAGGGTCTTCTGTGAACATTATAAGGCCTGAGGCCCAAACCCAAGTAATATGTCCAGGAGATTTCCGCGTGGCTTGGTTATTTTTTGGCACCGCGATTTGTTCTTTCTCTATATAAATTTCGGAAAAATCATCATTTTCACGAGCCTACCGTTCAAAAACCGTTTGACCAATTCCAATGAAAATTCGATTTTGTACAACTTAAGAGGGTCTTCTTTGTACAGAAAAAGGCTTAAAGCCCTAACCCAAGTAATATGTCCAGGAGATTTCCGCGTGGCTTGGTCATTTTTTTGCACCGCGATTTGTTCATTCTGTATATAAATTTCGGAAAAATAATCATTTTCACGAGCCTACCGTTCAAAAACCATTTGACCAATTCCAATGCAAATTCGATTTTGTACAACTTTGGAGGGTCTTCTGTGAACATTATAAGGCCTGAGGCCCAAACCCAAGTAATATGTCCAGGAGATTTCCGCGTGGCTTGGTTATTTTTTGGCACCGCGATTTGTTCTTTCTCTATATAAATTTCGGAAAAATCATCATTTTCACGAGCCTACCGTTCAAAAACCGTTTGACCAATTCCAATGAAAATTCGATTTTGTACAACTTAAGAGGGTCTTCTTTGTACAGAAAAAGGCTTAAAGCCCTAACCCAAGTAATATGTCCAGGAGATTTCCGCGTGGCTTGGTCATTTTTTTGCACCGCGATTTGTTCATTCTGTATATAAATTTCGATAAAATTATCATTTTCACGAGCCTACCGTTCAAAAACCATTTGACCAATTCCAATGCAAATTCGATTTTGTACAACTTTGGAGGGTCTTCTGTAAACATTATAAGGCCTGAGGTCGAATCCCAAGTAATATGTACAGGAGATTTTCCCGTGTTGCTTGGTTATTTTTTGGCACCGCGATTTGTTGTTTTTCTATAAATTTCGAAAAATCATCATTTTCACGAGCCTACCGTTCAAAAACTGTTTGATCAATTCCAATGAAAATTCGATTTTGTACATGTTAAGAGGGTCTTCTTGTACAGAGAAAGGCTTAAAGCCCTAACCCAAGTAATATGTCCAGGAGATTTCCGCGTGGCTTGGTCATTTTTTGCACCGCGATTTGTTCATTCTGTATATAAATTTCGGAAAAATAATCATTGTCACGAGCCTACCGTTCAAAAACCATTTGACCAATTCCAATGCAAATTCGATTTTGTACAAATTTGGAGGATATTCTGTGAATATTATAAGACCTAAGGCCCAAACCCAAGTAATATGTCCAGTAGATTTCCGCGTGGCTTGGTCATTTTTTGCACACAGGCGATTTGTTCTTTTTCTATAAAAATTTTGGGGAAAAATCATCATTTTCCCGAGCCTACCGTTCAAAAACATTATGAGGCCTAAGGCCGAATCCCAAGAAATATGTCCAGGAGATTTCCGCGTGGCTTGGTTATTTTTTGGCACCGCGATTTGTTCTTTCTCTATATAAAGTTCGGAAAAATCATCATTTTTACAAGCCTACCGTTCAAAAAACATTTGACCAATTCCAATGAAAGTTCGATTTTGTACAACTTAAGAGGGTCTTCATTGTACAGAAAAAGGCTTAAAGCCCTAACCCAAGTAATATGTCCAGGAGATTTCCGTGTGGCTTGGTCATTTTTTTGCACCTGGCTTTGTTCATTCTGTATATAAATTTTGGAAAAATTATCATTTTCACGAGCATACCGTTCAAAAACCATTTGACCAATTCCAATGCAAATTCGATTTTGTACAACTTTGGACGGTCTTCTGTAAACATTATAAGGCCAGAGGTCGAATCCCAAGTAATATGTACAGGAGATTTCCGTGTTGCTTTGTTATTTTTTGGCACCGCGATTTGTTCTTTTTCTATAAATTTCGGAAAAATCATCATTTTCACGAGCCTACCGTTCAAAAACCGTTTGATCAATTCCAATGAAAATTCGATTTTGTACATGTTAAGAGGGTCTTCTTTGTACAGAGAAAGGCTTAAAGCCATAACCCAAGTAATATGTCCAGGAGATTTCCGCGTGGCTTGGTCATTTTTTGCACCGCGATTTGTTCATTCTGTATATAAATTTCGGAAAAATAATCATTGTCACGAGCCTACCGTTCAAAAACCATTTGACCAATTCCAATGCAAATTCGATTTTGTACAAATTTGGAGGATATTCTGTGAATATTATAAGACCTAAGGCCCGAACCCAAGTAATATGTCCAGTAGATTTCCGCGTTGCTTGGTCATTTTTTGCACACAGGCGATTTGTTCTTTTTCCATATAAATTTTGGGGAAAAATCATCATTTTCCCGAGCCTACCGTTCAAAAACATTATAAGGCCTGAGGCCGAATCCCAAGAAATATGTATGTCCAGGAGATTTCCGCGTGGCTTGGTTATTTTTTGGCACCGCGATTTGTTCTTTCTCTATATGTATTTTAAAATGTGTCATTTTAACAGGGCACCTGGTTCTGTGTATGTTTTGGGTGAATTTTCTTTATTTCTAAGCATTTTATTAATGGGTCCAAATTATAAATTTTTTAATCTTTATCAATTGTATGAATTGATGCATCAGTATTGTTTCTATCGATCGCAATTCTGTCAAAATTTTATGATAAAATTGATTTCATCAATGATATTACAGACATAAAATGTGACTAAATCCTTTGAAAACTTGCACTAAATAATTCCCCAACGTTTGACACGCTGCACTTATTTTCTTAAATTGCAAAGCCATGTTCATGTTTTGTTTCTTTTTATATAATTCAAATGATTCACTTCTGATTGAATATGAACAGCATATCAATGACAAATGGTAAATTGTTGTTTGCATATCAGTCAAAGAAAAGGTAGTTTTAAACAAGTTAAGTGAAAGTCAGTGAAGGTTGCTTTTAGCATACAGCTCTTGAAACTGAATGAAAAGAAGAATTAATCCACAGAGCTAGGTTATGCTATGGCTTCTTTAAGGGGTTTGATATGACCCTTACATTCAACTTTAGAAAAGCAAAGATATGAAAATAGCAGGTATGATCGGCACATTTGATGATAAATGTTCACAACAGAAACCAATGTTATATGGGGTCTACTTGGAAGGGAAAAGGTCAAGGACACAGTGGCTAGATATGGAATCATTTTTTCCTTCTAAAGCAAGGCTGAAGCCTTATTTATTGAACAAAATCTTAGACACAGGGGCATTGTATAGACCCCAAGCCTTGCATAGAGTTTTGATGGTGTCATGGACACTGAAGCTATAAATAGAATTTTCTACATTTCTTCATAGAGTCTCTATATCTTAGACATTAAGTCCTAATACCTATTGACCTACCGGTATATATATGAGTATATATTTTCATTCATTTGGGGTCAAAGTAACAAAATGGCTAAAAATAAATGTTTCTTCTTTTCCTCAATAAACTGTAATTATTAGCTTGTCTGTTGGCAGAACAGGGAGAGCTTTTGTACTCACCCGGGCATGGGCGGTGTCATTCATCAATATATATTTCATTTACAGGTTACGCATCATATGCAATATCCACCAAATACTACAAATGTGTACTCCTACTTCGAAAGTCGTGGCGGGAAGTTTGAGAAAACCGTCTTCTTCGGTCTACAGTACATCATCAAACGATGGTTGTGTGGTAAGGTTGTTACGGAAGAGAAAATCCAGGAAGCAAAGGAGTTATACCATAAACACTTTATGAAAGATCATTTTAATGTTGAAGGATGGAGATATATTTTAGAGGTAAGGAAAATAATTATCTAAGTAGTTTTGAATTGAACCAAGAATATGATTATAATGTTATCGAGAAGAGGAAGACGGCATCTTGAATCACTTTTAACTTACATCCCATCTAGGACGTTAAATTGTGTCAAGTTAGGATCTATACAAGTACCATACATGTTAAGGGCATTCCTTCACCTTTAAAGCAACATGCCTCAAGAATTTTGCAATTTTTATAAAAAAATAAAAAATTGTTGTAATGAGTGAAAATCATGCCAAGTATACCAAAAATGTGATTAAATCTAAAATTCTGACAAAATTTAAGCTATACATAACTAATATGTATATTTTAAATATATATATATTTCTGAGACTTGATTTTTTGTTTGAAATTTTCTTTGCTCATCTTGAGGCATGCTGCTTTAAAGCAGGGAAGATATCACATGACCGTGTCAGTGTCAACATGACCTAATCTTCCAACTCTACTCTTACCATGCTAAATATCAAAAATGGACTAGTCCATCTTCCAATCTGGACAATACCATTTATCATTTTTAGGGAATTTTTCAAAACCTGTCTTTAACCATTCTAAGTTTCCATAATGCACACAGATCAGGGGAACCAAGAAATCAAAGGGTCATATCTGCGAATAGAGATATTCAATATTACTTATTTATCAAATATTTTAGTTTTGAATGCAAGGAAAAAATTTTAATTAAGTTTAATATCCAGACTGACTTAAGTTATATTTTCTTCTGGAGCAGTATTTCCTTCTTTTTTTCCCCGGTTTTTGCTGATTTTAACACATTTTGGTCATATCTCTGTAGTCGGTCAATCTAACCGACTTTCCTGGATATATAACCAGTAATTATCATGATGTCTGAATCGGCTGTGAGAGGCAAATGACCATTATACATAATGTCCGAGATATCAGTTGTCATGAAGAAATTTCGCCTTGCCCAAGGATTAAACCAGCGACCCTTGATAAGAAATCCTATGCATTCCCAATTCTGCTTAGGTGCATAATATGATACCGGATATGTAATGTGAGGAGCCTAGAATAATGAACCGGTATGTGAACACAAAAAGAAGTGTGTCTATATAAAGTTTGTGGTAAACAAAAGTCAAGGTCACGAACAGGAAACCTGTTAATGGGTGAATAAATTTTATTCAGAAGTACCGGTATTTATTGAATTGATTTTGTAATGGCAAGGGTTTTCACCTATTGAAATAACAAACTTTTATGATGAACTAATTCTAAAGCTAGTCATAAAGTCTATGGGTGGTTGAAAGTTATTGTCCAATAATGGTTATCAAGTGTTCTATAGTGGTTTATCAATGATATAGGACATGTCGAAAATGCCTCAGACGGGTTGAAAATTTGTCACTAATGAAAATTCCTCTTTTTTTTCTTTCTTTTTTTAAAATAATTTAGTATCAGTTGAAGTGTTTTTTCTGTCAGACCATAATTTTTATTGAAACTTGGTAATAGTTTCTGTTTGACCATTTATTTATTCAATGTCATAATATTGCATTAAAGTACTTATTAATATTAAAGCTATATATATTGTTATTTTTAGTTTAATACTGAACAAATTTGTTGCTTTAATATTGGTAAAAAAAAAATATTCTGAAATGCTTGAATGAAAGAAATATGTTTATATATTTCCTTTGGAAAAATGGCTCATCCATGAAATTATTGCTAAATGGTTAAGGGTTTAAAGACGCTCAATGTAACTACCAATTGACATGTTCAAAACTTAAACTTAAAAACATGACAAATCCATTATACAAAAGTAACGGGATATGGTTTTAAAGCAGCAATGCCTCTAAATTCATGCTTATTTTCATGAAAATTTGAAAAATGTATTTAAAAGTTATAATATATTGTATAGTGATCAAGGAAAAATTTACACATTGCAAACAGCACTTACAATCCAGGTAAATTACCAAAAAGTGGTCAAGATAAGCCCCTTACTGCGTTAGTTGATTACCTTGGTATAACAGTCAGTAGTAGAGATATTTTAATAAATACTTCAAAATCAGTCCTTTATCACCCATATAAACATGTAATTTAACGCTTGAATCTTAAATCTGTTTACTTTTCTTAAACTTTTAGTACATTTTTCTCAAGTTTGATTTTCTTGAGATATTTTGCCTCATTTGGAGGCATGCAGCTTTAAAGATTATATGTCCATTTTACATACAACCATCGAAAGTCTAAAATTGAGTGTAATCTAAGTATGGTTAAAATCCAGATGACAATGTCAGATGTTTAATTTTGTAATAAAAAGCACCCTCGTAATATTACACTGTTCCATTCAATATTGATTTGTAAGATACCCGATATATTGTAAACTTTCTAAAGTAGACATTATTGAATATTGATTTTATGATCGTCTTTGGTAAATGTATACAAAATCAAAAAGCTTTAACTGTTTCTTTCAATGAAAGGATTTATTAAGTGTAATATTATGTCCTTTTCCCATTTAAACGGGTATAAGTAACTTTTTGTTTAAGAGATTCTTCGGTAGATATTAGTTTGGATGATGTCATCCCTTTTTGATCATTATATGATTAATATCAATTGGTGGCAAATACCTTATATAGTAAATATTTATTTTGAAGATACCTTTATGTAAATTTACACAAATTCTTTCTAAACATTAGCAACTGCAGTAAGTGTTCTAATAATAGTATCAAATTTTGTCAATATTGACCACTTTTTGACCAAAAAAAAAAGAGAAAAAAATATTTTTGAAGGTGAAATCGTTGCATCTTAAATATTCTTAACCCTTCCTAAACTTCTTGAACAAGATGTGAATTAAGCCTTAGTGAACCTGTATAGAGCCAGGCCAATCTGCACAGCCATGCAGTGATTTTCCTCATTTAAATACACTGTTATTTTATATATAGTATGATTTCAATTGATTATTAGTATCACATGACTGTTTGTGGCCTGGGGGCCGGGACATTATTCATTTTGCGGGCTGATTTAAATCACCTTCCTGCCCTACTCTGCCTTGTATTAATCTCTTAATGTGACACGTGCATATACAAAACCTCTTCCCAATTGAAATTTTCTTTAAAATCATGCAGTTGTCCATAAAATCTGAACCTTCAGAAGCTTTTTTACTTCCAAAATTATCAATTTTAGCGATAATATTTCCCAAAATCAAGAGGCCTTATTTATCCAGAGGCGAAGGCCTCTTCACATTTATTAAGTGAGTAATACCATGGCTGTGCAGTCTCACCTGCAGGTTTTATACTGTTGCATCTTGAAAGCTGATATTATATGTCTCATTTGTGCATTGATGTAGTATCTATATAAGTATTGAAATCCCTGAACCTTTGAATGGACTGACAGTTCCAAATTTAAAGATAGGAAATAAGATTGGAAAATTCCATCAAATACACAAATTCAGCAACAAAACCTTTACCCTACTATTTTTGTGAAATCATGCACTAGCTTGCCTCTGTTTTGAATTAAGTTATTCCTTTGAGAACAGTTGACTACTGGAATGGTTCACTAGAAGCTTTCAGTCTGTAATATTATCTGCCAGTGTATAGTCAATGTCAACCATTTAGGATATTGTAAACGCATTATAATTTACAGAAGGAAAGGTTAAGTGTGTAAAGTGTACTGTTGAACCTGTAGTTTAAAGGGACTCCACTAAAGTTTTTTGGCATGACAGGACGGGAAATATCTTTTTTCAAGATTTATGTACAATTTTTATGTAGGTCTAGACAAATAACTTGTGTGCGTATTTTCTGATCTAGTTTTTCAGGAATAATCGTTTTTATTGTGCCAAATAACCCGAAAATAAAAAATGTTACTAGACTTTTCTACTTGGATAGAGTTAAGAACAGCACAAGAATTTAATATTCAATTTAATTCTGGCTTATTACTTTATTATCCTTTTGCAGTTTTCCAACCTTCATTCAGGTGACATTATGCCCATCATAGTGTATAATAATATTATAGTGTCAAGAGGTGAAAGTAAAAATAAGTTAATCTTTTCAATTTTATGATTTTTTTTGCATAAACAATAAACAACCCGCGAGGCCCAAGGAATCTTCTGTATATATCTGTTAGAATTAAAAAGAGTGGGACGGTCTTTTTGTATTCTTCTTATCACTGATTTATATTTTATCCTCCTCATTTTTCAATATCAACTGTTGGTGAATCAATATTATAACAGTCAATGTTTTGAAATATATAGTTTATTCGGCTCATGAAAAAAATGAGCATAATGTCACTTAAAATTCCTCACTAATCTTGATCTATGTAAGACTTTCAAATTTTATGTTTTTAGGCTTTTTTTACCTCAGTGGAGCCCCTTTAATAATAATATAATGTGAATATTACAAAAGAATTTTGTCATATAATAATGTGTTGAACTACTATGTATTGCAATAATATCAACAGCTCTACCTAACAAAGTCTGGATTTCATAATAAAATATATATTTTAGAATAAATACAAATAACTGCATGAGACAAAACAGAAAACGTCACAAAAAACAACTAAAAAGCCCATATAAATTGTTGCACCTTTTACAACTTAAGTGCTAAAAAGATTGCTTTTATGCTTTTAAGGTGCCTCAGGGTATGAATTTATTTTTAGAATTATTCAGATGGTGTCTTTAGTGCAAGTTTGAAAGTTACAAATGAACTGCATACTGTATATTAATTATGTAATTTTGTACTTGGTTGACCTAATAGCGTCCATAAAATACTACTTGCAGTTGCATTCTGAAATTGAAAGGAACTGTTTTTCGAGAAAATTAATCTTGTAAATTAAATGTTCTTGCTTAGAGATACGATGAATTCATAATATACATTTTGTAATTTGAATTGATCTGTTAGTTTATTGATTTCTTATTGATTTTTACAGCATTACTTGCCAAGTGCATTTGATTGTTCACCTTCAGATTTTATTTGAAGCTTTATTACTCTGCAATGTATGATTAATTGATTATTACAAATATGTAGATTGCAGTGATTTTGAGATTATAGTTTTAACCATAGGTCTGCCAACATCAATGGCTCTACCCATAGTAAATTGTCATTATTAAAACCTGTATTTAGTTTATCTGTCCCTCTTGTTTGTCTATTTTTGGACTTGATGTACCCAGCCTTTACTGGCCCCTTAATGACACTTATCTTCAAGGTCAAATGTTCAAATTCCAGAAATTTTTCTACAATTTTATTTTTTTTACAGATTTAGGATAGGGGCCATTTGTTTTCATGAACAAAATTACATATATTCAGTTTATATAATGAAATTATTCGGTTTATGTAATGAAGGTATGCAGTTTATATAATGAAAGTATTCAGTTTATGCAATAAAATTATTCAGTTTATATAATGAAACTATTATTCAGTTAATGTAATGAAATTATTCAGTTAATGTAATAAAATTATTCAGTTCATGTAATGAAATTATTTGGTTTATGTAATGAAATTATTCAGTTTATATAATGAAATTATTCGGTTTATGTTATGAAGGTATTCAGTTTATGTTAATGAAATTGTAGAACTATAGCAATCTTCCATTGTGCCTGAAAAATGTTTTTTTTTAACTACATGTACCTTAAATAGGGGAAGAAGAAGAAAAAGAAGAAGAAGAAGTTACATTTAAAGAAATATTGCCCAGTTTGCAAAGACAATTGTTGTGTTAAACTTGTATTTTCTTGATCTTGTTGCATAATATTTTCTATTTTTGTCTTTTTCAGACATACGACGGTCATCTACCAATAAGGATTAAATCTGTACCCGAAGGAATGGTCGTCCCATATAAAAATGTTCTGTTCACAGTAGAAAATACAGATCCTAAATGCCATTGGCTAACAAATTACTTTGAGGTAAATTGCTTGTGACATTGTTTTTTTCCAGTTATAAATTATGCATGAATTAGTCATAAAAATGGGTTGAATTGGTTTGAAATATAATATGTGAGACAAAAAGTGCATTTTGCTTCAACAGAGGAAGGATATACATGTTTAATTGGCGACGCCGGTGAGCGGCGTCGTCTATTATGGAACGCTTTTTATTTTTGCCTATGGAAGGAGCTGTTATTATTAGCAGTTAATTTCATGTTGTGTTAATTAGTTTTATTTTGATTCGTAAAAATCAAGTAAACAAATGTGTTGTTATATTTGTATTTAATAACTTTATGTAAAAAGCATGTGCATTGTGATATTATTTTCACGAAATTGCTGGTTAAGTTTAACAGCTTGTCCCTTAGTTTTAATGACAATACTAAAACCCGGATTTCGAATATCGTTGTGGTCTAGATTGAGGCCGTATCAGTTCATTCATTCATTTATACATTTTCAAAATTTTCCTACAAGAAGAAAGTTCACCTGCAATTGAGTATAAGGATAGGTAATGGAACTGTTGTAAACGATTATCCTATTGATTTTATCCTTATTACATTTATCTGTTGCGCAGAATGGTTGTTTTTACAAAGTGTACCAGTATCCGGATGTTGAAAGCTATCTGATTTTCTGCAATTACTGCTGACACATGGCCATCTATTTTTTTATGAATACTTTACCATTAATTTGCATGGCTTGATAAAACTGAACCTGCAGCATTTCATAATTTTGCTGTTTAGGGTGTTCTTTTGGGTTTCAGGTTTTCTTTATTGTAAGGGGAAGTAACTCATGTTTACTAAATTATTTGTTCTTTTTCTGTCTATCTTAGGTATTACTTATAATACTATTTTTGTTGTATATAATTCACCAGTTGTAAGGTCATCAAAAGCATGTTAATGTTAATGTTAGGAATTTCATATTTATTTAATATAAACTGGGAATTATTAATGTTATGTGCATACATGTATATCTTAGACAGTAGTATATTGATATGTTGAGACTTATAATTTTTCTGCATTTAAAGAGATACAGTTATGTCATTATTATTAAAGGGATGAGACTTTCATTTAAAGTTATAAATGATAAAACATGTATTGATTGAAAAGGTCCTTAAACTTGGATCAAGCAATATAATTAATAAAGTCTCAAAAAATCATATTCTGAATAGTTATTCTATTTTTTTTCTAACATGTGCATAGTTTGAAAAGGACAGCTTCTGTCTGAAAGGACAGCTTCTGTCTGATCTATTTGTAATGAAGGGACACCGGTCTCAACCTCCAGGTCTCCTGAGTCAACCCGACAACAGACTGTACATAGAGTAGATTGTTACTTACCCTTGAATAAATTTGTGCACTAAATTTATAGTGGGTGATTTGTGCCACATGAAAACCAACATAGTACAAAAAGTAACTGGGCGCCAGATGAAAACATGAAAATACAATCTACCACAAAGTGGTTTGTTTGTTGCATTTTCATGTTTTTTGCCCGGTGCCCTTGATGCAAAATACAAATCAGCCTTCATAAAATTTCTTATGTTGGTCACAGGTTTGAGTTCTGGTCAAGCTCAAAGTTTTTCTCATCCTGTGACTGCATATAAGCATGAGTTCAATTTCCTATGCTCTGTAACATAAGAAATTCACGAACACAAATCGATATAGTGGGGAAATATGTTGTGGTTTAGAACTGTTTCATCATTAAAGAGAAAATGTGTAGCAGGCCGGATAGCTCAGTTGGTCTTCTGAAAGTCATGGGTTCGAGTCATGGTCAGGCAGTTTCAGTCAGGGTTTACAAGTGGTTTTTCAATTGACACATGTTTGATTCATTTAACAGATTGCATTATTTGAAATGGACAAAGGCAGTATTGTATGATACTTTTAGATCTACAAGGGCATTTGATACAGTTGAACACACTATACTGCACATGAAGAAGTTGTTTTTCTTCTTCTTCATGAAACTACAAGCATCTGCCATATATAATGACATTCTTTACATGGTTTAAGTCTTATCTCTGATAGTAGCTGGTTGATGTGGCTGGTACTCATTCTACTACAGTCACTGCTCTGAGTACCTATGCTGTCCCACTGATGTTCATTTTAGGTCCTCTTTTATGTCTAATATATGTCAATTACATGTCTTCAACCCTAAGCAGTAAGCTTTTATTATAATGCACAGGCACGAGTATCAGACCTTGGAAGAAAAAATATGGCCAGATTGATAAAAAAACCTGTGTTCATCTTAAAAGTGTCAACAACCAAAATAAAATGTAAATAATGACCCCCTTTAAAAATATACTTCAAGTTGATAGTATATTTTTAAAGGGGATCATTATTTACATTTTTTTTTTTTGGTTTTTATAAACACAGTTTTTTTTATCAATCTGGTCATCTGGTCATATTTTTTCTTCCCAGGTCCGATACTCGTGCCTGTGATTATATGCTGATGACTCAGGAATCCTTGTGTCTCATAAAATAAATCTGAAGAAATTCTTTCTTATAGCATGAGTCTTATAAGATTGCTTAAGTGACTATAAATTGTCTTTGCATCTTGGCAAGACAGAGTCTATTCTTTTTTGGTTTAAGTTTCAACTTAAACTGGCCCTAGCCTCCAGGTCACATGTAATGGTACTGCTATAAAGTACATATCTTTTGTTAAGTATTTAGGTGCAAATCTGGATCAAATTCTTTTGGCGTCGCCCTTTGATGCTTTGCATCAATGATTTTCTTGTATACATGTATATAATAATTTTTGCATGTATTTTTTGTAAGATATAGTTCCTTTTTGTCCCCTTTATCAGTCTATTCCTTTTTACATAGACCCGAAGTGCTTACAAATTCTTGAGCTTAGCGAAAACAGTCTTGAAGTTGTATTATAATTTCAAGGTCTTCTGCTGGGCTCCAGAATTCACAGTGTAAACAAAAATAGGCAGCAATTTACAACCAAGCCCGGGCATAATACCAAGATTCAAACACAAGAAATCTAGACCTTAGCCTGTACCAACTGAGCTACCAGCTTGTTGATAACTTGTCGATAATACTTTTTTTTTCCCAATTTTAAAAATTAATAATGTCCCATCTCAGTGAAATTGGCGTCATTGTGTGATGCTATTAACTGTTGCTTATTTACTTTGTTGCCTGTTTTATTAACTCTTGTTGCTTGTGTAGTCAATAGTAACTGTTGTTACTACCATTTCATTCAGCCAAGAGTCAAAACTTGTAGAAAAAGAAAGTCAATAGGCAAACACTGTATCGTTGGGCATTTATTCTAGAAAATCTAATATACATGTACAAGTGACCTTACGGAATAGTGAAATACTGGTTTGTACTGTATGGAATTGTCAATGTCCTTGACTAGAAATTCATTGATTTTTGCCTGATTGCAAGAAGTAATTATTGGACTGCACAGGGATGTCTTTGATGTTTGCATGTTCAATTGAAGTGATTTTCCAATTACTGTAGTTCACGGCTTACCTTGATATATACAGACTGTTCCAAAGATATGTGTACGTTGAAATATTTTTACAAAAATATTAAATATATGTACAGTAGAGGATATTCAAGTTTTGTTCTTAAAATACAGGATTTATGTTCATCTAGTGGTATGAAAATAAGTATTTCCAAGTGGCAGTAGCCACAAGTGTAATATGATAATTTTCATATCATAAGATGAAAATAAATCCTGTATTTATTGGAAAAACTTAAATTTTCTGTTTATTATAATTATACACTTTTCATTTTTTTGACATTTTAATTTGAAATATTCGTAACCCCTTACATTTTGTGTTTTGGCTAAATTTATTAGAAAGTAGTCTGGAAAGACACCAGTGAAAATACGGAAAATAATATGTTTCACTGCAGTGAAAAATAAATTTTTACAATGAAAATCGGAAAAATGAAAAAGCGCATTTTATTTCATCAATATTATTCAATATTTCAGTCAAAAGTGTATAATAAAGAATGGTCTTTACCTACTCTAATCGTTGTTAAGTTCAAGGGAAAATGATATTAACCCTGACCATAATGCTGAATTTCTTAAATGGATTATATTCTCATGCTTAATATTTCAAATAGACCTGTCCATCTTTTGAACTCATCGATTGAAGGGAAAATTTCAAAATATGAACTAACCATTCACTATTCAGTCAGTTCATTTTTAGCTCACCTGAGCTTGCTCAGGGTGAGCTTTTAGGATCGGTGAATGTCCGTCGTACGTCCACAATTGCTTGTGAACATTCTAGCGGTCGCATTTTTGCCTCAATCATCATCAAACTTGGTCAGGATGCTTATCTAGTTGAAAGCTCGGATGAGTTCGAACATGGCTCATCTCGGATGAAAAACTAGGTCACAAGACCTAAAAATAGAAAAACCTTGTGAACACTCTAGAGGTCACATTTTTGACCCAATCATCATCAAACTTGGTCAGGATGTTTGTCTAGGTGATAGCTCGGATGAGTTCGAACATGGGTCATCTCGGATGAAAAAGTAGGTCACAGGAGCTAAAAATAGAAAAACCTTGTTAACACTCTAGTGGTCACAATTTTGACTCAGTTGTCATCAAACTTAGTCAGGAAAATTGTCTAGGTCATTGCTGGGAATAAATCGAACATGGGACATCTCGGATGAAAAACTAGGTCACAGGAGCTAAAAATAGAAAAATCTTGTTAACACTCTAGTGGCTACTGTTTTGATCCAAGTATCCTGGAAATTGGTCTGAAAGTTTGTTTTGATGATTTCTAAGTCAAGTTTGAATATGTGTCACCTGGGTAAAAAACTAGGTCACACCGCCCAAATATGAAAAAACCTTGTTAACATTCTAGTGGTCACATTTTCGACTCAATTATCATCAAACTTGGTCAGGATGCTTGTCTAGGTAATTGCTTGGATGAGTTCAAAATCCCATGTGAAACTAGGTCACTGGAGCTAAAAATAGAAAAATCTTGTTAACACTCTAGTTGCTACTGTTTTGATCCAAGTATCCTGGAAATTGGTCGCACTGCTCAAATATGGGTAATCCTTGTTAACACTGTAGTGGTCACATTTTTGACTCACCTGTCATGAGACTTGGTCAGAATGCTTGTCTAGGTAATTGTTTGGATGAGTTTGATAAGTCAGGTGAGCGATCTAGGGCCATCATGGCCCTCTATTAATGTTTGAAATTATCCCTAATGCTGAAGAATGGTTTTGTCCAGATTTAAAGATGCACACAAAGATGTTTTTAGAATAACCTTTGTAAAGTACTCCTTTGAGGTCTAAAAGCTTTAAAAACATTAAATTTGAATTTCATACATAGATCAGCTGGGACACTCAGGTATGCAAGAGATGATCAAGAAATTTATTCAGAAATAAGCTGAAAAACGTATTTTTGTGCTCTTCTGAGTTCCATTTTAACCTCAGTAAAAGTCCCTTTAATATTGAGATTTTCTTTTTCTGCTTTGTTTAGACATGTACCATTATCTGCCCCTTTAATTAGGTACTAAAAGTGTTAATGAACAAATACTGAAGGATTTTTATGATTTTTCTATTTTTAGACACTGTTGGTTCAGGTCTGGTACCCGATGACCGTTGCCACCAACTCTAGGTACCAGAAAGAGATCATTGCCAAATACCTTGACGAAACTGCTGAAACTCTCGATAAACTGCCATTTATGTTACATGACTTTGGTTTCAGAGGATCGTCTTCTGTAGAGGTATATACATGAATTATGAATAGTATTTATATGATATTTTATTTATACATCGGATATATATTTAAATAAAATTGTTTAGTTGTATCTGATTTTAATTAAGTGTAATTCTTTACATTTTCGACAAGCTTTGGAATGCATTCATTTTAAAAATTCATTTCGTTTATAATACATTTTCTAGGAGTCACAGGTATTTCTAAAAGCACAGGTTTGATTTTACAGTTTACAAATTTAACTTGGTTTAAACACAGATTCAGTCTGACCATAGTAGGCAATGTCAGTAGGTAATGACACTTATGTTCATACTTTTGTAACTTACTAGGTTACTAATATATGTAGAGGGAGAGCATGGGATTAGTATTAAAGTATTCGAGGGGTCGCTGGTTGAATCCTCAGGCATAACAAAATTTTTCCTTTATGTCACCTCGGACATCCAGACTAATGATCATTCATCTCTCACAACTGATTCAAAAATTATGTATATATTTCAGTCTGCAGGTATCGGAGGGTGTTCACATTTAGTAAACTTTATGGGAACAGATACCATAGCTGGGATAACTACCGCCAGAAGATATTACGGTTGTGACATCGCTGGATTCTCTATACCAGCTGCTGAACACAGGTTTCTTACCCTTTCTTACCCTTTAACCTGCTACAACTGTGTAATGGATTTGTCCAGTTTTGAATTTGGAACAGTCCATTCAGTCTTAAATGGATGTTTCCATCTTTCATTCTGGACTAAACCATTTATCATTTAAGGGAAGTTTTATAATATGTATTGAATGAGAATAACAAACTGTGTAGATTATCATCAGATGGGACAGATGTGCTGGTTGACCTTTGTCTGCACTGATTAAGTTGGTAGAATCAGTTGCCTCCAGCAGGCTAAAAAATTTATGGGATTTTAATATCAATACTGTATAATTTAAAGAGCTACTATTTAGAGTTGAGCTGGGTCTAAGGTTATAAAGAAATTCCCTGAGCTCAAACTCAGATCTGAAGTATTTGATTGGTCAGAAACTGCTTCAGAATACTCACTGACCAATGAAAATCCTGAAATTTAAGACAGAACTCAGGCCTCATGGCTATATCCCTGGCCTGAGGGGATATGCTAGCTGGGTGGCTTATTATAAAGCTATTAACTAATAAGCTCTACGACTAGCTCTGTTTGATGTCTTGGTGAGGTATTATGCCTAAATTTTTCTCTGTGATATTTCAGTGAGACAGTGTCAAGTGCCACTAGAATATACCTTAGTTTATATTACTGACAGAAAATTGATCAACCTGTTGAAAACTATCATTTGTTCTGTAATAAATTTTTATATTATAAATGAGATTCTAAATCAGCACTCAATCTGATTGTATTTGAGCACTTAATGCAGTTATATATCAGCACTAAATATGATTGTATTACAGCACTAGTTGTATTGTATTTCAGCACTAAATGTGATTGTATTTGAGCACTTAATGCAGTTATATATCAGCACTAAATATTTTTGTATTTGAGCACTTAATGCAGTTATATATCAGCACTAAATATGATTGTATTACAGCACTAGTTGTATTGTATTTCAGCACTAAATGTGATTGTATTTGAGCACTTAATGCAGTTATATATCAGCACTAAATATTTTTGTATTTGAGCACTTAATGCAGTTATATATTAGCACTAAATGTGATTGTTTTACAGCACTATTTATGTTGCATTTCAGCACTAAATATGATTGTTTTACAGCACTAGTTGTATTGTATTTCAGCACTATTACTACTTGGGGTAAAGATGGTGAAGTTGAAGCATTCCGCAATATGTTGACAAGATTTCCTGATGGTTTGGTAGCCTGTGTAAGCGACAGTTACAACATTTGGGATGCCTGTGAGAAAGTTTGGGGAGGTAAACTGAAGAGCCTAGTTGAACAGCGAAAAAATGGTTCCCTGGTGGTGCGCCCCGATTCTGGTGACCCTCCAACAGTTGTTGTTCAGGTAAGCACTAATTATTGAAAAATGATTTTGGGAATCCCTATTACATCTTTATTTTGATAAAATTTATGAATATATTTAGGACTTTAATGAGACAAAACTTGCATTGCAGTGATTGCCTACTGATAAAAAATTATTCAACCGGCACTTTTTATTAATGTACAAGATTGCTGGTTATCATTTTGATATTGAAAATTCTTAAATGATAGACACTTGGAAGGAGGATAAAATAGTCTACCATGAGCTAAACCTAAATTGAGAGCATTTAGAATTTACAAAATCATTACTTTTGAAGGTTTTGACATTTGAGCCGTCACAAAACCAACATAGTGGGTTTGCGACCAGCATGGATCCAGACTAGCCTGCACATCCGCGCAGTCTGATCAGGATCCATGCTGTTCGCTATCAGTTTCTCTACTTGTAATAGAGTTTGTAAGCGAACAGCATGGATCCTGATCAGACTGCACAGAGGCACAGGCTGGTCTGGATCCATGCTGGTCGCAAACCCATTATGTTGGTTTTGTCATGACACAGCTCATTTATAGACACATTTTTCAAACCACTTTGCTCTCACTGCTGTTGGTTCAAACCTTAGCAGGGACTTTTGGATTCTTTAATGTGAGGAAGCTATCCAGCTAGGTAACGGAATGGTAGTGGTTCTACTCAGGTGCCTGTTCATGCCTGAAATAATGCAAGGTAGGGCACCTTCCAGGGGTCTTCTTCCACCAGTAAAGCTGAGATTTGCCATATATGATGTGATTTAAAACCTAAAAAAAAAACAACAAATATTTTGAATTTACAGCATTTTGGCTTTAAATGCTTTTTTAAAAATCATTGACTTTACTTGATAGGTTTTGTCATATATTTTTCTTTACTTTGTATTGTATCAAAATAATTTTGCAGGTTTTAGATATACTAGCGAAATGTTTTGGAAAGTCGCTGAACAAGAAGGGGTACTATTTATTGCCGCCATATATTCGTGTGATACAAGGAGACGGGATAAGTTACGAGACTTTGGGAGCTATCTTAGAGAACATGAAAATAAATAAATGGAGTGCAGAGAATCTTGCCTTTGGAAGTGGTGGAGCATTGCTGCAGAGATTGGATAGGGATACACAGAAATGTGCTTTTAAATGCAGTTACGCAGTGTGTAATGGAAAAGAGGTATAGTATACTTAAGAAATTATATATCCCAAACTTATTTTATCGCTGAATAAAATCACTGTTTGGAGTTTGGATGCGAAGAATTGTATCACGAGGATGTAGCCCAAATGATGTAATGATGGGCATCCGAACAACAAACTGATTTTATCAAGTTATAAAATCACCAATTTGGATATAATATTTCCATTCTAACACAACATCAACAAATAAATGCTGCCGTACCTGATATTAAGCTAAATTGCGCCTGATTTCTTTCCTTACTTATTTTCTGCGCTTCATATTATGTGGTTACGTCACAGTATAATGAACATCTCACATGAGTTAACAGTGTTGATTGTTAACAGTGATTTTATTGCATAATAACACACTTTCGGTTCTTCTATGTTCAATAGGGAAAAAAACTTAAGGTTGTGTTAGAATTTTGGATTATTTTGATATGAAGATATTCTTCACCTGCCATAGCCTTTCGCCAATAATTTCCCAACATTTTATTTAGAAACTTTCCATTTCTCACTTCCTATAGATAGCTGCAATAGTGTTATTGATTTGAAGATAGTGAAAAAATATCTAAGTACTGTAACTCTTACTTAATTGTTAAAGAAGTCTTGCAATAGAATGAAGAGTTGCTTCCCTGTAGAAAAAATACAAATTAGAGATGTGTCAGGCTCTCTTTATGATGCTTCTTGATAAAAAATATAAAAAAATTGGTGTCTGTTTTTACAAAAAGAAATAAATTATTCTATCCAGTATAGAATTAAATATTCTGTATTATTCAAATAGGTGAACGTCTACAAAGCTCCAATTACTGATCCTGGTAAGAAGAGTAAGAAAGGACGTCTGACATTAGAGAAGACGAAGGATGGAAATTTCGTCACTGTAGAAGAAGGGGCAGGGGATGTCAAAAAGGTATTGTGTAGACATCCATTGTAAAACTTTGTATATAAATAAATTAAAATAACTTATAAAGTGGTTACCCTGGTAAAATAATTGTAGAGGGGTCCATACTTGTCATTTGGGTCAGTAGGTCAAAGGTCAAGGTCGGCTTTATGTGGGTTGACATTGTTTCCTTGTTCTAACTGCACATTTATGAGATTTAAAAGGGGGGCCCCGGTTTGCATGTAAGATCTTTTTGTTAACAATATAATTGTTTAATAAATCAAAATATTAGCATGTTAGTTAAGATTGATAATTGTTTTTTTTTATTCTTTTCCAGGATATTCTAGAAACTGTATTTGAGAATGGTAAATTGTTAAAAGACTTCTCATTTGATGAAGTTAGAGCTAACGCCGAGATTGACCTAGTTAACCAGAGAAAGAAAGAAAAGTCTGACAGTCAATAACCAGCTATATAATGATGCCTCGATGGCTTGATAATAACATCGCACTCATGCAGAGGTCAACAGATTGTATGCCAGAAATTGAGAATAAGTTATGAATGAATATAGAAAACTACTATCTTCAAACATGTCCTGTTCAATGTGAAACAATATCAAAACATATCACTTTTGGATGCAAAATTTTCAATGCTTTTAGAACAAGTACAACAAAAGGGAAAACTTTTTACCCTTTCAGGATGAAATTCTTAAGTTAGATTTCTGATAATAATTTCTATTTAAATACATATATATTGTTACTGTTGCTTTTTTATGCTTTTATGAACTTTGAAAAATATGGTATACATCTCGAAGAGATCTAGATAATGTTACTGTTTGTGGTGTCTAAAATTCATGTACGTACTATACTGTAAAATAAGTAATTTTTGTGGTGCCAAAATTTTGTTAAATCAACATTTTTGGTTAATTGACAAGGTCAAATATTGGCAAATTTCTACTTTCAGTTCAGTTAAATTAATATGAAATATAAATACCTATCAAACACTAATATGAAACATAAATACCTATCAACACTTTTTTTGCAACTTCAGTTTGTGAATTTAGCAAATTTTAATCCCTTACGAAAATTTCTTATTTTACCATATCGGCAAGTTAAGTAAAAAATATCTTTGTTCAGGTTAAAAAGCAAAATTAATGTCTTCAAAATAATGAAGTAATTACAATTCAAAATTAAAGAGTTGTTACAAATGTTTCAGAGAATAATAAGGAAAAAATGTTTGTTTCTTATTATAGTAACACGTGAATAGTAATTGTAGTATAAAGAATTTTATTGTATGAATAAACTTGTATGAATAATCTAGTACTGCTATGATACTGATAAGTATACAGACATTTACAGATTGTTGTACATGTCAGTTTGTTGTTATGGTATGTAGAAAACATGTTGTAATATTTTTTATTTTTTTTTGAAAATAATTTACTTGAACAGTGAGTAAAAAATTCAGTTATTGTTATTAACAAGAGCCAATGTTATATAAATTGAATTTGACAACCAGTCTAAAATTCTAGCAGCTGATTGGCTAATTTTTGAATTTTGAATTGAAATTGGCCAATAGTAGAGCTGCATTAAGAGACTGGTTTCCAAGTTTAGTTTTGCAGTCTTGCAGCAAGCTTTTTTTATGAAGATCTCTTTCAGGACCAACTACATTAGAGCACCATGCCTTTGTGAGTATGAGTAAATGCTTATGAATCATAAATTGTTTTGTTTTCTTTACAAAAGAAAGCCATATATTTATAAATTTATGTACATGTATTATGATATATTTTCAAACGCATATATGTGTAATTCTTTTCATTGTACGGACTTGTGGTTTTGCACTTCCTTGGAGATTCTGCTACTATCAGGGACAGAGATAAGAATTTGTCATTTTTACTTTGATAACAGTTGTTACAATTTAAATAATGTAACAATTTAAATAAATTTCTCTATTCATCTTTAAGATGTAAAGATGGCAAATTGTTTGTAATAAAAGCCTTCAGTGAAGAAAGACCAATAAAATGAAAATCTGTCAATATTGCTTAACATTTAAGGTTCTATTTTGCTGAACGAATGAGAAAACTTGCCTGTTTTTAGACAATTTTGTAATCCAGGTGTCACTTGTTTTAATCCTGGCGCTAGGCAAAATTTCTTCATAGCAATTGATCTGGGACATTGATTCACTCACACCACTGATTAAGAAATCATTTGGCATTTGTATGCTGTCACTTGCGGAGAAATTTGCAATTTCTGGTCAGTTATCCGGGAAAGCCAATTAGGCGAACCACGGCCAAGATAAACAAAAAGATGTTGAAATTGGCGTGAAAATCAGGCAAACAAACAAAACAAAAGTGTAAATAGACACAATATTTTCTAATTTTTTCTCCTGGTTGCCATAACAAATTTTAAATTACGGTTATGAAGCAGCCTCAATCAAGGATAGACACCATATTTTCCTATTCTTTTTTCCTATTCTTTTCTACTGATTGCCATAACCACTTTTATTACAATTCAAAGCAGCGTCGATCAAGGTTTTAAATTCGAAGTAGTTTTATTTTGTTAAGCATATTTGTGGTGAAAAGTGTATTTTTGTATATTTGCTCTAAAGTCCTCCTACCATTGCATTGAAAATTCCCTGCCATTGTTATCATTCTACACTTTGAACATTGTCAGATAGATATTGCTGGATGTAGCAGTATGTCTCCAGATGTGTGTAAAATAAATCTTCCAAAAAATCACTTCTGAGAAAAATATTATTTACAGTCTAAAGAAATGTCAATCTAATTAAAATCATATCTATAATTGTTGCTCCACTACACTTCACTAAGAGTAACGGAGCAAAAAACGATGATCTGATTTTAATGAGATTTAAGAAATGTTTGAGAAATATTCAAAATTCAGGCAAAACTTTGACTGTATTATCTAAAATATTCAACAGAATTTTGTATTTTTATCACAAGATTTTTTCCTGTCACTAATGTCCCGACACACATCTGGAGTTGTGTTGTTTCACGTCTTTTTATCATATGCTCAAAATATGGCAGCACCCTGTAGTTCACATGTCCAAACCTTGCAATATGCCATTATAGATATTATATTGCCCCCTTTTAATCATAAACTGTACATTTATATATCACTTGCATGTGTGTATACACGCCATTAGTACGATGCCTGAAGAAAATGTTTTCATTCTTACATTACCAATTACCATGAAAAAAATTGAACATCTAGAAAGTAAAATGTAAAGGCTTTATAGCTTAAATATTACATTGTTTTAAATCGTTAGATGTTAATTTAAACCTTTTTTACTTGGTTTAAAGGGTCTTTTTTAGGTGGATTATTTATATACAGTAGAAATTCTATGTGTCCAACTTTGATTAGAAGATTTGTTTTGTTATGCCTTTTGTAACTCACTGGTAAATGTTGATGGCGTGAGATTTTGTCATTGAATTGAGACGAAGGCCTGATGTCTCAAAGTTTTAAGCAAGTCCCTTCAACTTCGACTTAACAAAGTTCTACTTCATATGTTATGTTAGTTATCTACTTTATGTTTACTTATTATCTTAGTTATGAGAATCTTTTTTTTTTTAACTACTTTACCTGAAATACATTTATAGCACAGTTAAAGGCACATTATGCCTCAGAAACCAATTATTTTTACCTCTTTAGTAAGAGCAATCTTGAATTTTGTAAAGGTTTTAGAGAATGTTAAATGCTTGTTACCTGAAGAAATTAGTGATAAATGCGAAATAATTTGTCAATAAAGTAGCAAAATGTAAGCAAAGTAGTATTTTGACTTCCGTTCAAAAATACTAAATCACTAAAATGTACTTTTTACCATAACAACAGATAAAAAGTTCACCAAAATTAAAAGGCTTTTTGAGAAATAGAAATAAAAGAATTTCGGAGGCATAATTGGCCTTTAATTGATTTTAAAGGTTAAATAACTTCTGAAATTTGTCCAAGTATAACATTCCTGAAATGTGGATCATTTTATTTTACAACTTTTGTGTTTAAAGTTGTGAAACTAGCCTCCTTCTGAAGTAGAAAATTATTCATGAATGGGTGAAGACTTGGTTATTTTTGGATATATTTTACTCAAATTTTTATTGTAAGTTTAAAAAGGAAAGAACTGTTACTGCGAAAGTAAAGAACATAAATTTTTATGGTAAAGAAAATTTACTAAGAAAGCAAGGAAAATTTACTATTAAAGTAAAGAAAATTAACTAATATGTGAAGAATATTATGAAAACAATTAAAATTAACAATGAAAATGAAAACATTAACTAAAATTTGACAGTAAATATATTAACTAACATTAAATATTAAAGTAAAGAAAAAAAACTATGCAGAGTTTTTTGTTTGTTTTTTTTGTTTTGTCAATATATATATTTTGTTTATCCTTCAGTTGACTATCAGATAATCTGGAAGGGCTGGTGTGCAGGAATATATTGTTGTTTTGAATATACATGTATATTTTAGTTCTATCAACAAACATAGCCGTATTTCTTAGCCACAGAAATAGTATTCTTCCATCCTCTAATTAATATGATAGTCTATTTATTGTATATATTTGGTAATTTATAGTAATATATATATGTGTGTGTATTTTAATAACTGATCACATTAAAGGCACATTGTGCCTGTAAAATAAAATTTAATTCATTTTTCCTAGTTGGAAAGGGCAAGTATGTGTTAATGATGTTTAAAAAAAAAAATTGAAAAGTGTACAAAATTGTACATGTACCACTTCATGGAATATATATTTAAAGTATATCGGATGTGACTTAATTGTTTAAGTTCAGTTTAAAGTGCTTAGAACAGTTCTATTATGTTTGTAAGGAGTTTATGTCCTTAAATAATATAAAAGTTTAATGTATTTCCATTTGTTATAAAGAATAGATAGATGTATAAATATTTGTGTTATATTTGTCTGAATACTTGCCTTTATATATGTAATTGGTTAGAGAAAGTTATGACAAAAGTACACATTCTATTCTATGTATTTGCACATTTTGTAACCAGAATTAACTGTTGGCCAAAAGAATCTGTCTGTCAACATTTTTTATGTATTAGAATAAAAGGGTGGGATATAATTTTTTTTGTTAAAGGGACATCACTGAGGTTTTTGATGTGACATGACTGGAATTACTGTTTTTGAGATCAATTTTCCTTTTGATGTAGATCAAAACCAAAAACTTATGTGCAAAATTTCAGAACATTTACTCACTCCGTTTTTTCCAGAATGATATTCTTATTATGAAAAATGACCTAAAATTGAAAAGCATTGCAATGCTTTTCACTCAAATTGGGCTTAGAAAAACACAACAATACGATTTTCAATTTATTTCTTAGTATTTTTCTTATTAACTTTTGCATTTCTGTCTGTTTTAAGTACCCCAGCTGATCTGTGTAAGAAATTGAAATTGTATGCTTTTATGCTTTTGAACCTCAGTGGAGTACCTTTAAGAACATTTGTGTTAAAAAAATAGTTTGAACTCCTGAAACATATGTATATGATGTTGTAAAATTTTAGGGATATGGAAATAGGAGTATTCTGAATGTTGAAACAAACAGTTTCTTTTTGCCTTTAAGTTAAATTTCAAAATATTTTGAACATGTATTTTATTTTATTTTTTCTCTATTTTCATACACATTTTTATAATATTTTTTCCTATTTTTTATACAATTTACTCTCATTATTGTATGATATATGTTTACTGAACTGTTTTGTTAACATGTTATGACATACCTTTAAAGAAGTACACTTTTAGTTAAAATCTTCAAAAAATCAAATTGAAGAAAAATATATGTATAGCCTAGAAAAAAATATCTAAATGTTCAAAAATCTACCTTTTACTGACACAGTTATATTTTTCTTGCAAGAATTTGGTCTAATTTCTTAGGGTAGCCAGTGCATTGGGCTATGTTAAAATACTTCAATTGTACAACATTTTACATTTGCGGACAATTTTCATAAAGTTCCATTGAAATTAACAGAAATATGGGAGTGGGCTCCTTTAAAAGTACAGATGTGACACTTTGGTATCCTATTTAGGCTCTTGAAGTCTTTATTTTATTTCATAAGTTCTTACAACTCCATTTAAGTGCAGAAAAGTGAATATGATGCTTTTGATTTTTGGAAACCAACATTGGTATGCTTGCCACTAATATTTTGTCAGCACTGCCTTAAATCAGTTAAATAGTTAGAAAATGTTTTATTATTATTTTCAGTGGCCTATGGTGTAATATAGATTCATTATATAGGATACTCACATTTTCCGTCTCTCAGTTTGTTAGGCGATTACCTCTATGCTAATAAAATTAATCTTATTAACTGGTATGTCTACTTGTTTTTTTCCTTCTTTTGCATAAGATTGACTTTTCAGATGTTGCTAATAATAGTCACAAAATTTTTGACTTTGCTAGCTCTTTTGGAGTTGAATGCCAAAGACAGAGGTTTTTAAATAATATATATTTTTAGCTGTACTTTTTTTTTTTGAAAACAAAAATATAGAGATATTGTTACAGTCAATGGGGGCATTGCCTTTGCCGTTGCTGTCCGCAAACTTTAAACTTGATCATAACTTTTTAAGTTCCTAGTGTATTGACTTCATACTTGGCCACAACAACCCTTTGGACAAGACATTTAAGTGGACCACACTAACCTTAACCTTCATTTATAAATGACCTTGATCTTCAAGATTAAATGTCTAAATTTTGCTTGATTTTTGCAGATATTTGTTATTAGTGGCTATAGCTTTGTTGCTTTGGAATGGACTGCCTTCAAACTTGAACAGAATAGACTTTTAAGTTCAGCTGACAGGCCTTGACCTTCACTCATAAATGACCGTGTCAAAGTATTTAATTTTTCATATTTTTGCTGTAACTGGCTATACTTTGATATGACTTCATATTAAGACATAACATTCTGTAGGACATGACCTTCATGTATATCAAACTCAAAATGATCTTTTCTCATTTATGATATTGACCTTGAAGGTTAAATTCTTGAAATATCACTGATTTTTGCTATTATTGACTGTACCTTTGAAAATTATAAGTTGATTATGGTCACACTTGAACAAAACATCCTTTTGGATAAGATCTTATTCACTGCCCTTCTAGTCAGTGAGATCTATCTACTTGCAAAGTTTTAAGTTGATATCTTTTAAAGATCTGAAGTTATGTCCCGGAAATGTTTAAAATGTAAAAATTAACAATGGCAATAACTCCAAGATTATGGAAGGATGGGTTATCGTCTGATGCACCACATTTCTACTATTTCAGATCTATCTACCTACAAAATTTCAAGTTGATATCTCTTGTTCATTCTAAGTTATGTCCCGCACAAGAAATTTGCAACGGACCGACCACCAGCTGACTCTAGTGTACTGAAACAGTTTGTTTGTTGGGGTATAATTATTGCCATTGGGTCAAAATTGGTCCCTCCCCAAGGAGTCATGGCTTTTACTTATATAGTTTCTATGCAAAAAAACTTCTTGAAAACGGTAAGGGTTATATGTTAGATATTACGCATAAAACAAAGTATGGTGGACCGCGACAAAAATAACTAGTGTCAAAATTATCATCACCCCGGGGAACATAGATTATCCTTATATATGACTTCTCATAGCAACCAGTGACTTTCAATAGCAACCATTGTCTTCTACAGTAACAAGTGACTAACCATAGCAACCAATGACTTATATTGAAACCATTGACTTTCCAAGGCAACCATAAGCCCCTTTAGCAACCACTGACTTTCCATAGCAACCAGTACCTGTCCATGGCAACCATTGACTTACCAAATCAATCAGTGACCAATAATGCAACAGTGACTTTCCATAGCAACCAGTGACTTCCATAGCAACCACTTCTTTCCATAAAAACCATATAAACCAGTGACACATAGCTTCAGTACTTCTTTTACTTTATGCAATGCTCACAAAGGCGCATAAAAGGGCGTTGTTCCGATGATTATAATTTTCGGTTTAAAATAGTGCTGAACAAGGGCAACATTGTCGCAATATACGCCCATCACAGAAGCTTTTGAGTTGTGGGCATTAACGATAAGCATATAGGAGATATTCTCTGGGAAATATCCAGAAAATATCGATATATTGTCATCTCTAGTGATTTTTTTATCTGAATTTTGATCCCTATGTGTGAACTTGACTTTAGCCGCAGGGACCTAAATTTTGCATGCGACACTCCGCCTCACAATAGTGAACATTTGTGCCAAGTTATATTGCAATCCCTCTATGCATGTAGAAATATTAACCTGAATTACATGTTTCACACCAGTAGTCATGATAATGACCATTTGTGTTTCAATCCCTTAATAAATGATGACTAAATGGTCCCAGTACACATTTTCATATTTTTATTTACCCCTATGTGTGACCTTGGCTGCAGGGACCTAAATTTTGCACGCGACAGCTTGCCTCACAATAGTGAACATCTGTGTCAAGTTAAATAGAAATCTATACATATAGAAGAGCGTTTTTCTATGACCTCTAAGTGTGACCTTGACCTTTGACCTAGAGGCCTTGTTCATGTGCAGGACACGGCTTCTAACAGTGGTGAACATTTATATGAAGTTTCATTAGAATCCCTCCATATGTGTAGGAGATAACCTCTGGACAAATCTTTATATTTTATGTATAGAATATCGACCGAGTACGAGGTCTTTCTTATTAGGAAAGACCTGGTCACGAATTTCATGTGCGTAGCGCTCGAGGTGTTTCATGAAATTCGTGACCAGATCTTTCCAAAACAGAAAGAACGATGTACGAGGTCGATATTCAACTTACACACCGTAAATCTATATTGGCTTGAGCAATGGCTGATTCGAAGCATTTGATCTAATTCACAAATATTATTTTTAACACAACGCATTTACAGGTAAGCTTTTATCAACGTTCTCCTTTAAAACAATACATGTATATTTTTTGCATTTTACTTTGCTTCTTCCTTTAAAATATTAATCAAAAAAGCTTAATGTGCAATTTGTCAATAATAAAGTGAATAGGTCTGTAATGGTAGGTATGTTAAAGAATGAATAATTATGTTGATCGTATTTCAGATTCTAGGACATTATCGCCTGTCAGTTGCCCCCACCCCCACCCGGTCGTTTGCCCCTTTTTGCTGTTGTCACTTGTCACTAGTCAGTATAGACTTTATATAGGCTCCATTTTCTTTATCCATAACACTGCTATCTTTATCATAATCGTATTTTGCCATTTTTGCCGGAACAACATCATCGTCAGAGTGTTCACACTTCAGTGATTCTTGTTCAGGACACCAACGCTTTACATGATTTTGAAGATCATGCACGTATTCAAACATCACCCCACAGTCGTCACAAGCTGACATTTTTTCGTTTACTGAAAAGTCTAGTTTTGGTTCTGTAAGACGTTCCTGATTTCCCTCTGAATTATTGTCTCTAATATGCTCTGGAATATACGTCCGCACAGATTGAATGTCTTCTTTTGAATGATGGTTTTGATCAGCTGTACCTTCTTTTATACAAAATATATTAGTCCGCATGCGCATTGATTCCTGAGTTGTTGGTTTTAAGTCTGGTAGTAAATATCCATATCACGGGGGTGGAACCTCATATGTATCTCAAAAATGAGCATCGGTAAAAATAATATGTGAATTTCCGCTGCACCAGATGTGAAGCATAACATCAGATGTGACTGTAAAAATAGGACAATCGCAGGGTTAGTTTTAATCTATTTAATCATTTATATATAATTCAATCCATTTTTTAAGAAAATCGAAACGTGATTCTACCCTCCTGACTCTCCTCTGTATTTCCTATTTTTGTTTTGTATTTCTATATCAGTCTTCATTGAGATATTCTTTCCGTCGTGGGTTCTGGTGTGTCCAAAACATGCAATGTGAATGAAGAAAATGTTACTAAACGGACTCAAAAACAGGGATTTAACGAAATGTCACTACAGACCGATGCTGAACATTCAGACAAATCCTGATTTAAACATTTATTGAGATTTGGCTACAAAAGAAGGGAATCGCAGCTCAAAATTGCATTTGAGCTCAATATGTGCTGAAAAGATCCATATGTGCATAATATAAAAATAGCAACATAATTACACATCAATTCCGTAAAGCAATCTATAATTTATTCTATTGTGTATCATTCTGTAATAAAAACATTATTATCCGAAATAGACACATTTTCACGAGACGAGCTTGAATAACATAGTATTTATATAGAAAGAGATAAAAGACATTCTGCATACGAACGGTTTTGAAAATACGTAGATATGGTGGGAATGCCTTGCTTATTTTGATTTATTGACGTCATGTGTACTACAATCATTCCCTGTTTATGTCGTCATGCATTAATTAATTCACTAATTATTCACTCGACTGCACTGTCTGCTTAAATGGGGAGTAATGTGAAGGGTGTTTGAATTTGTTATGACGCTGTAAGAAATTAGTGACAAACTTTTTGAAAAAGATCAAAGAAACTTTGCATATTTACTTTCCACATCAAGGAACGTCCTCGCATAATATTTACATGGTTCACTTCATGCCCATAGTCGCAATCATGGGCCAATGGCTTTTTGACCTAATTTATGCCTGCTCGGTAACTGATATAAATTTAAACATCCATCTTTTGACATGCCATTCAAATGCTGATGAAACGGCGGTTAGCGTAATACTTGCGCGTCCCAATTATTTATTAATTATTTCTGTGTCTTTGGTCATCCAACCAATCAGGAACACCCAACATACCTCTGATTGGCTCATATGGTGTGGGGTTTACAATATCGGTCATTGACACGTTGCATAAACAGTAACCGAGGTTCCGAGTGGGGACTTAACTTTATGAAGAGAAGCCGCTTATAAACTGAAATTTTAAGTTTATCAAAATTCTCGTTCCTGTTTATCATGCGATAAAACAGTTAATATAATATATCAAACTCGACAATTATGTAGAAATATCATGGCCTGGGCCGGCATCTCGGGTTTTCCTTACAGTCTCGGGTTTTCCTTACAGACAATGTTCCCGGCCCATATTCTGTAAAGAAAAACCTTCGATGTTGCACCAGGCCATGCTATTTACACATAACAGTATGTCGCTATAACTATAACTTGTTGAATATAGTCTGATTTTATTGACCTGTCAATTATGCATACATTATAGAACTCATTTAAATATTCGATCCCACTTCGGTTTGGTCCGTGTAGTTTACGAGAATTAATGTGGAGTATATTAGTCATGGATTGAAAGTCACGCCAGCTTAATGTGAAGGTTTTCGTTAATTCACAATAGTACAGTCGGTTAAGAGAATGCCTGATAATTT